AGCACGACAATAAGTACACATAAATAATCTCAGTGATTATTCTCATCGTCTGCAGATGGCGACCTCGATTATACACTCAGTTTGGTTGTAGACATGTTTTTTTTTTTTAACTTTTATTAATTACACTTTATTCATTTTGTATCCCCCCATAAGCTCCTCCCTCCTCCCCTCCCGGTCCCACCCTCCCCCCCTCCTTTCTGCATGCATGCCCCTCCCCATGTCCACTGATAGGGGAGGTCCTTCTCTCCTTCTTTCTGATCTTAGTCTATCAGTTCTCATCAGTAGTGGCTGCATTGTCAGGGTTCTAGGTTATCTCCACGGATAGTCCTTGGTTGGAGTATGAGTCTCTGGGAAGTTCCCTGTGTTCAAATTTTCTTGTTCTGTTTCTCTCCTTGTGGAGTTCCTGTCCCCTCCAGCTCTTACTATTTCTCACTTCTTACATAAAATTCCATTCACTCTGCCCATCAGTTGGCCATCAGGCTCAGCATCTGCTTTCACAGTCTGCATGGCAGAGGCTTTCAGAGGCCCTCTGTGGCAGGTTCCAAGGTTGTTTCCTGTTTTCTTCTTCTGGCTTTCAGAGGCCATCTGTAGCAGGTTGCTAGGTTGTTTCCTGTTTTCTTTTTCTTCTGATGTCCATCCTCTTTGCCTTTCAGGATGGGGATTGAACATTTTACTTAGGGTCCTCTCTTTTGCTTAGTATGTTTAGATGTACAGATTTTAGTGGGTTTATTCTATGTTGTATGTATATATGAGTGAGTATATACCATGTGTGTCTTTTTGCTTCTGGGACAACTCACTCAGGATGATCCTTTCCAGGTCCCACAATTTACCTGCAAATTTCATGATTTCCTTATTTTTCATTGCTGAGTAATATTCCATTGTATAGATGTACCACAGTATCTGCATCCATTATTCAGTTGAGGGGCATCTGGGCTGTTTCCAGCTTCTGGCTATTACAAATAAAGCTTCTACAAACATGGTTGAGCAAATGTCCTTTTTGTGTACTTGAGCCTCTTTTGGGTATATGCCTAGGAGTGGTATGGCTGGATCTTGAGGAAGCGCTATTTCTAGTTGTCTGAGAAAGCACCAGATTGATTTCCAGAGTGGTTGTACAAGTTTACATTCCCACCAGCAATAGAGAAGGGTTCCCCTTTCTCCACAACCTCTCCAGCATGTGTTGTCACTTGAGTTTTTCATCTTGGCCATTCTGATGGGTGTAAGGTGAAATCTCAGGGTTGTTTTGATTTTCATTTCCCTAATGGCTAATGAGGTTGAGCATTTCTTTAAGTGCTTCTCTGCCATTCGATATTCCTCTGTCGAGAATTCTCTGTTTAGCTCTGGTCCCCATTTTTTAAGTGGATTACTTGGTTTGCTGCTTTTCAGCTTCTTTAGTTCTTTATATATACTGGATATGAGTCCTCTGTCAGATAAAGGGTTGGTGATGATTCTTTCCCAAGCGACTGTAGGCAGTCGCCTTGTTTTGATGACTGTGTCCTTTGCTTTACAGAAGCTTTTCAATTTCATGAGGTCCCATTTATTGATTGTTGCTCTTAGAGCCTGTGCTGTTGGTGTTCTCTTCAGGAAGTTTTCTCCTGTACCAATGAGTTCTAGGGTATTCCCCACTTTTTTTTCCAGCTGATTTAATGTGTCTGGTTTTATGTTGAGGTCTTTGATTCACTTGGACTTCAGTTTTGTGCAGGGTGATAAGTATGGATCTATTTTCATTTTTCTACATGTAGACATCCAGTTGTTCCAGCACCATTTGTTGAAGATGCTATCTTTTTTCCATTGTATGGTTTTGGCATCTTTGTCAAAAATCAGGTGTCCATAAAAGCATTTGACAAAATCCAACATCCATTTATGTTTAAAGTATTGGAGAGATCAGGGATACAAGGCACATATCTAAACATAGTAAAGACGATATACAGCAAGTCTATAGCCAACATCAAATTGAACGGAGAGAAACTTAAAGCAATCCCACTGAAATCAGGGACAAGACAAGGCTGCCCACTGTCTCCATATCTCTTCAACATAGTGCTGGAAGTCCTTGCTAGTGCAATAAGACAGTTGAAGGAGATCAAGGGGATACAGATGGGAAAGGAAGAAGTCAAATTATCACTATTTGCAGATGATATGATAGTATATATGAGTGACCCCAAAAACTCTACCAGGGAACTCCTACAGCTGATAAATACTTTCAGCAAAGTGGCTGGATACAAAATTAACTCAAAAAATTCAGTAGCACTCCTGTATACAAAAGACAAAATTTCTGAGAAAGAAATTAGAGAAACGACACCCTTCACAATAGCCACAAATGACATAAAGTACCTTGGTGTAACCCTAACCAAGCAAGTCAAAGACTTGTATGAAAAAAATTTCAAGTCTCTGAAGAAAGAATTAGAGGAAGATATGAGAAGATGGAAAGATCTCCCATGCTCATGGCTTGGCAGGATTAATATAGTAAAAATGCCCATCTTACCAAAAGCAATCTACAGATATAATGCAATTCCCATCAAATTGCCAACACAATTCTTTACAGACCTGGAAAGAAAAATTCTCAACTTCGTATGGAATAACAAGAAACCCAGAATTGCTAAAACAATCCTCTACAATAAAAGATCTTCTGGAGGTATCTCCATCCCTGATCTCAAGCTGTACTATAGAGCCACAGTTATAAAAACTGCATGGTACTGGCATAGAAACAGAATGGTGGATCAACGGAACCGAACAGAAGACCCACAAATAAACCCACATACTTATGGACATGTTTTATAAAAATAACAAAACTATTCCATTGCACTTGGTAAGGGTAAGTGTTGCTTTAGGAAACTTTAATCTAAGCTATTAGTTTTTTGTGTATGTAAGGCTGTTCAGCTTGGTCACTACACTGTGCCTTTTGAATACTCAATGTCCTATCTTTGCGTTTCTTGTGTTTCTAAAACAGGCATAAGTTCATCCCTTCGAGGAAATGTCCTAATGTGTTGAGGTGCATTTGGCTATCAAAATTTGTGGAAGAGAGGTTCTACAGGCATGCAGGAGGGAGTGCTGAACCCTCTGAGGTGGGTAGCTCCTCACTATAATGACTAATTCAGGACAAAACTGCAATAACACCCAGGTTAACAAACCTCATTCCCTGTTCCCTTCACTATTACCCCAACCAGTTACCTAAGAAGTATAAGTCTTCTGTTGAATTTTGTTATTTTTATGAGACAAAGTCACCCAGTCTGCTTCAAGTTTCCTGAATAGCTGAGAATGTCCTCAAATTCCTTGGTAAAAAGAGTGTAACTCAACATTATTTGAAGGATGCACGCCACTTCTGAACACAGACTCGGAGATATGGTCTATGGAATGCTCAGATCACCAACTTTATTAGACTTAAAACAATAAAACAGTATTTGTTCCCGTTCAACCCAAATGAAATGCTGTAGCAGACAGTTTAGAGCACATTATTTACAACTCTAAGACCACTTTCTGAATCTTAGCGTTAGAAGCAAAATCATATTTCACCACCATAAAATAGAAAATTTATGTGACAAAATTCATATATATATGAATATATATATATATATATATATATATATATATATATATAAAGAAAAAACTTTGAAGTGAGTTGTGGCAATAGGTATTTTCTATTTTAAAACTGATCTGAAAGCACTTAGTGAAAAATGTCATATTCTCTTGATTCAATAAATACAGCAGCCATAAACAACCTTTACAAGAAAAAGGAACACGAGCGTTTGACAGCTAAGGATGCAAATTGCAAATAACTTTGTCAAGCTGTTTATATACCTTGGCTTTTAAACCCAGATATCACATGGACCAAGAAAGAGTCCAACAAAGCCTTATTTAATTGTATTATGGGCACCATAGCCTCACTCTCCTGATACTTTCATGAATTTGATTGTTTGGTTGTTTGGTTTTTAATTTATGTGGGAATCATAATATATCATTATATATAAGACATTATACATATACAAAATATTATAAACCATATTTACAAATTTATATATGTATACTCATATAAATACATATATGCTTATATATTTTTATATACATATGTATATATAAATATGTATATATGGTTCCATGATTTAGAAAGAACTTGATGGTAGAAATAAAGGTAATAATAATTTCTTTTCTGTGAAAAAAACAAACAAAATTTATGTTAATAAATTCTCAATTGTTTTTAGGTATTTGACTTAAGATAACGCTGGACAAAATCGCCTCCTGTCGTCCAAAATATGTAAGTGCACATTTAAACTGCAAATCCTTGTGTACCTATCCTAGGACAGCTCAGAAAGTTATCATCCCCTTTCAATTTTTCACAACAAGAATTTGACATTGATTAAATAACTACTTTATATAAAAATTAATCAATATTTCTCTTAATTATATCTATGAAATAGGGATGTGCTGTGAGTGTTGTTTACATGGCTGCATGTGTTTTTTGAAAGTCACAGAAAAACCAGAAAGATGCCTCGGCAAAGGCTGTTCCACCATTGTTTTATGTTGATGGCTACACATAATCTTCCTTCATAAAATTCCGTGATATGCATTTAGAAGTATCAGACTTAGTTCCTGTGATGGAAAAAGGAAAATCTAGAAGAAAAATAAAGAGAGCAAAAAGATGTTTGTGAACTCTGGAAGAGTCATGGGAAATTGTATGAGCACTTTGAGATTTCTGAGAACCCAAACAGGTTTTTCAATCGAGGGAGAACCCAGGAAAAACACTCTAAAAATTTCCCAGGCTGTCTTCAAAATCCCACAATGCATCTTATGTACAGGCCAATTTACTTGGTTTAAAGAGGTGAATATCTTTACCACATTTTTCAATGATAAAATGATCCATCACTCCGCAAGCGATTCTGAAATAAATCATGTGTGCTTCCTGTTGTTATTTCATCTCACTTCATTGCACCAATGCCACCAAATGAAAGTCTGAATTCTTATGTACATATAACGTGCAGGCTACTGTTTTGTTTAACATGTGTGGCTCCTTAGAGGCCCGTTTTTGAAGCAATCCAGCGTCGGTAATAAGTCACTTGTGTGTAAACTCCAGGTTTGTTCCTTTGACCACAATTGTCTCCCCAACTCACAATTCCAAGGAGGTACCATGTGTCTTTGTTGTCTTTTACAACTAATGGTCCCCCAGAATCACCCTGAAAATACACAGGAAAAACAAAAACAGTTTATCATTTACAGAAGTTTGATGAACCACTTATTTTATTCTTAGTGTAGGTATAGATTACCAATACTGAATAAATAAAACCCATAATATATGCAAGCAAAAGACCGGTACAGTTTAAAAATAGCCCAAAGTAACGTGAGACAAAATAAAATCCCCAAAAAAACAATTTGAGGTTTTTTTGTGGGCGTGGGGCCTGCCCTTGAGTGTGGTTTGTACACCCAGTGAGACTCTGTTGAAAAAAAAAAAAAAACTAATTTTTCCCTTGGGAGCAGTTGTGAAATGGAGATAGCTTCTCCCATGCACAGTGTTTTGCAGTATGATCTGAGCGTCACTTTAAGAGAGACCCTCCCAGTTCCGCTTCACAGTGCCTGATGCTGGTTACAACCTGAATCTTTTTCATTTTTATTATTTTATTTTATTATGATTTATTTGTAGCCCCTTCCCTCATCTCCTCCCAGTCCCACCCTCCTTTTTCCACTCATCCACCTGCCCTTGTCCACAGAAAGGGGGAGCCCTCCTCCCCTACCATCTGACCCCAGCCTGTCAAGTCTCACCAGGACTGCCTGGATCCTCTTCCTGGGTGGCCTGAAAGGTCCCCTCTCCTGGGGAAAGTGATCAAGGAGTGGGGCAACAGAGTCCCTGTCAGAGACTCCTCTTACTAGGTGACCCACATGGAGTCTGAGCTGCCTATGAGCTACATCTGAGCAGGGGTTCTAGGTCCTCTCCATGCATGGTCCTTGGTGATGCACAAGACTCTACAGGCCCTCCTGGGCCCCAATTTGTTGGCTTTGTTGGTCTCCTTGTGGACGTGGAGGGGACAGGAAGGAGCTCTAGAACCTGAATCTTTATTTGATTAAACTCTTGACTGAGCTACAACCAGAATCAAAACTTCAAATCTGAACTAAATTGTGAAACCCCTTTTTACCCCTTCTGTATTTCTCATCAGCAATTCTGATACTTTTTAATTTGTGTTTGGATCTCGTTTACCTAGATGTTGGCTGGAGAAATTCTCATTCCCACTCTTGCTGGCTCCTTCTCTCCCTCCCCCTTCCTCCCTCCTCTCCTCTACATTAGGGAAATGTATTGAATTCTAGATAAACATTTGGTGATATAAGGAAGCCAGGTTGATGTTGGTGCTTGTAACTCTTGTTTTCTTTTCAGAATTTCCTCTCCCTCCGCTCCTCCCAATGATTTTCTCTATGAGTAGGGACTTTCTTGGATTTCTTTGTTTCCCATCGCAGTGAATCCTCTGTGATACAAATTATTCTACTGATGTTCTTCATGTGTTTCTGATGTGAGCTTCTATCCATCTATTCTCTGGATACATAAATTACAGCTTCCACACTCTTGGCAACTGAGGTTAGATCCTTCTCTGGCCTGGCCTATGTGTTATAAAATGTTGTGCTTTTTTTTTTTTTTCCCAAACAGAAGTAGCTCATTCTGTGCAGTTTGTGGGCTTGTTTGCAGGGCTTTTAGCCACCGCATGCCAAAAACAATCTAACAGTCTCATCATTTCACTGTGTAGATTCCCTTCCTTGAAGTGTTCAAGGGTCTCATGTCAAAAGAAAATGATTGCATATGGAAAGAAACATACTCTTCATCAGAAAACACACATGGCACACAGGTTCTGGAAGACCGTGAAGAACTGTAGGATATTGACAGGTAAGACCCAATCAAACTTTGCCTCATTAAATTGCCCTCCCACCTGTCATGCTGCTTGTGCTTTGCTTAGGATTACCAACTTCAAATTATAGTAATTGGTAATAAACATAAATGCATACATCTCTGTAGTTTTAACTATTCTTTCTTGTCTTTTCCTTTTCTGCAATTGCAGAAGGGCTACTTATTGTTTAGTCATGTTGAAGCATCATTTCTCTGATGCTCATTCCAAAAAAAAAATGTTTTCTTGAAGGGAAAACTACTTTTTCCATGATATTCTTAGAGCATCACAGTTGCTGCCTCTGTAATTTGTGAGGCTGTTGTGTAAGAAGACATTACCATCCCCTTATCCTGAGTGTTTCTGGTTATTAAGACATTTGAATTTTGTGTTTGATAGAATCAAAGAAATCCTTTGCTTGTTTCAGGTTGTTTATTACTAAAACACTTAAAAGGACTTATGTGCTATGACGTTTACATGTTTGAAGATATCTGTGTGTCTGTGCCCTGTGCTACCATAAAGAACATAGAGTATTTCTTGGGCTAGGCAAAAAGGTTTTGAGTGAGTGACCTTGAATTTTTTTTTCCAACCTACCCTGCAGGCGTCGTAAATTCCTTCCAGAAACCCAGCACAGAACATGCCCCGCTTTATGTCATTTCCGTACACCTGTTGTTGTTTGCAGACCTCATTGCTTATGAGCTGAACTCTGGCTTCTCGGAGCTCATTTTGGGATTCCCCTTAAAGAAAAAAAAAAGCAGTCTCAGAATCCTCAATAAGTATTCTTCGGTGGACTGAAGTGAGTGGGTTCTTTTCTAATCATCTTCATTATATACAGACCAAGACTAGTCTGAGAGCCCTAGAGAAGAAACTTCCTAAGTAAAATCTGGCACACACTATTCAGTTCCATATTTAAGAGGCAGAGGCAGGTGTATCTCTGCAAGTTTAAGGCCAGTTTGGTCTATATAAACATTTCTAGGACAGACAGGGTAACACATTTTATTTAAAAAAAAAAATGAACTTTGTGGTTTACTGATTCCAGATTGTTTCCACAAACTTTACATACCTAGTTGGTATTGTTTCTTGCTTGATAAAATACTTCCTAAATTATATATGTTTATCCAGTCTTGTGCATTTACAAAGATCTTTCATTTATATAATTGCATCACATGGCAATGTCTTTGTCTTAGAGAAATGTAGGAATCTAGTCTAAGCTAGGGTCCTTATGACATACAGAAGCAGAGGAAAACTCAGAATATCAGAAACAGTCTTTTTCTTAATCATGGACAAGTTGGGAGATCATGATGCCCTGGCTGGCAGAACTCGAGCATGACCCTTGTGTTATTTTTCTGTCCCCCAGTATGTGTTGGACTTTGTGAATGCGATAGAAGTCATTTTTATAATTAAGCTTAAGTTTTATGTGACAAAGTGCTGGGACATTTTTATATAAATTGATGTCTTCAATCAGATTGACTTTGGAATGATCAAAAGGGAGATTATCAAAGGCAGACCTGATCAAATCAGGTAAGGTTTAGAATTTCTCCATGCTTGGACACACTTCACTGATGATGTTGAGAAGGCAGGAGCTACAGCTGTGAGAAACAATTTCAAGCAGACAGCTGGGAAGGGAGCCCTGAGCCACAGATAAGTCTATGCCCAAAATGCGCTTCTGAGAGACTTGGAAAAAAAAACCCAATAAACTGAACATCTGACCCAGCAAAAATTAGAGCTAATAATACATGCATATATCTATATATAAATATAATATTCAGTAATATATGTATACATACATGTGAATTAGAGCGTCTGCCTGTATTATCAATTTAAATTTTTCTACTTCCACTTCTGGGAAGGGTTAGTGGACATGACAACTAATATTTTCTAGGTGATTGACAAATTAATTACTTTTCTAGAAAACTACTTGGTAAAACATAATAAAACTATCAAGGGAGTATCTCCAAAATTTATACCTTCAAATCCCTAACTATCTCCTGAGTGCTTTGGGATCGCTTACTGACACTTCATTACAGAGCATTGATTTGTTGCAAAGAGTTCAAGTCTATTTGTCCATTTCCTCTACTTTTTCATTTTTCTTATTTCTTTTCTTCTTCATGTTTTAGATTCATTTTCTCTTATCTCTATTACTTTCTTGAAGTTGGCACTTAGTTCATAGATGGGAGCTCTTCCTTTATTATGCACAGATATACTCTTTGTACTCTGAGTACTAAGTTTTAATTTGGTTCCAGGTACTTCTAAGAGATTTTTCCCAAGACTTTCATTTAATTTTGAGTGTGTTCCTTAATTTCTAATCATTTAGACATTTTCCTGTTATCTTTTTGCTGTTGTTTTCCAGTTTGAGTTCACATAAGAACATGCAGTGTATGATCTCAGTTATTTCATATTTACGAATGCTTACTTTGCATACATGGATATGGACTTTGGAGAGTAAGCCATGGGTTCTTGTAGTTAATGTGAAGCCCACTATTTCAAGGTAGAGTGTTCTGTAAATGTCTAATCTTAATTCTATTCACAACATATGTTCTGTCAGGAATGTATCTCTTCCAACCTCAAACTACTACCAGAAAAGGATTTTCTTATACCAAGGAGAATTCATGATATGCCTTTTATAATTATGTTGCAGAGAGAAATCATTAGAGAAATGTGCAGGCAGAGTGTGATATCACCCTTGCTACTCTGCTAGAACTAAGAAACAATGGGCAGTATTTTCTGTAGTCAGTTATAGGCATAAAGAATACAATGTATGTTCAGTATTTCTAAGATGGAACTGAGCTGCAGAAAATGTCTGAAGTAAATCAAGAGCCTACAAAGCCTGTTCTTGGCGGTTTGTCTCAGTGTTTTCCTAGTTCCTTGGTGGAACCCAAGATTAGAGGTTTATTCCTTGAAGTTTGTTGTTGGTATAGCTGCTTTGAATGAATTTTGTCTATTTTCAGAAGCCCATTTTACATATCCATAAGTCCATAGTTAAATTCTTTATCAATTATTATATATGTAACCAAAGCAACTCTAGAATCCAGAGTGTGTTTGAGAATGGCTAAAAACATTCAGCAACAGTTATAAATGAATGATAAAGTTATTTTACTATTATTAAAGAGAGGGTAATCATGTTTTGATGATTTATATCTACACTGGTTTTGTTCTTAGCTACCATTAAATTAGCTTCTTTAATAATACAACAAAATCAGCTGCATTGGCATAAAAATATTTAAGTTGGTCAGTGAATCCAGCACTCCAGGACTGCCTGTGGGACACTTCTGGCACTGGGTGGAGCCAGAGGCCCAGCTGGTGAAGCTAACCTGGGGAAGCCAGGACCCTGAGGTACAAAGATTTAAATGTTAAACTCTGCGATCTGCCTATACTTAAGGCAGATTTCTCACACAGCACTGTTGAATTCAAGGACTAAATGTGCTTTGCTTCTGCTTGGCGTTGGATTTCTGTCACTTGTAAAACAAGAGCTCTAACTAACCACAGCAGACTGTGGGAAATGGGCTGGCAACATACAACAGGTGATCAAATTACTCTGTGAAAGGGCTGAGAGGTCTGCCGGCCCTTACCAGCTACTCACCACTATAGTAAAGTGCTCCAAATCCTGTGATGTAGACAGTTGAATTTGGAGGGAACGATACAGAGGCTTCTGGCAAACAAATTCGGCGTACTTCGTCTGAAAAGGTGACTCTGGGAGAAAACTGCACGAGAGCAATGTCATGGTCTCTTGCTGGGGGGTGATACCTTTCATGCATAATAATCCTTCTGACATCTCTTTTCATTAAAGGAGGGTTTATCGTTGTTCCAAAACTAAGAGTCCATTGACGTGGGTTAGAATTACTGGAAAAGATTAGCAGCATATGTGAGCTGCACAGTATCCATTTACGACTCCATTTAGATTAATCAACAACATACATTGAGGTTAATACAGGAGAAAATACAAGAGGAAAAAAAAAACACCCTGACAATGGTTGGCTGCAATTATAGTCTCACTTGACTATTTAAATATGTCTGTTGTTCATGATTTAAGTACAAAAACATATACAAATAGCAGATTGGACATAAATTTCTTATGTACTCATTGAGTGTGAGAACTGTGAAGCATGTACAGTGTTATTCACTTGTTCCCTCAGCAAATACTTATTAATCGTGCACACGCTTAATGTTGTTGAGGTGTTAGGGATAAAAAAAAAATGAACAAAACATAAATTTTCAGTCCACACGCATGTTATGTTTGAGAGAAGAGAAACTATAAAAATGAGTTAAAATGTTGACAAATAACATGAGTTCTAAAGATCATTAATAAAAATAAAATAGGGCAATATAAATGTACTAGAGGTCTGGGGTTGTTTTTTCTTCCTTTGCATAGCACATTCAGGGTAAGACATGCCTGATGGAGAGTCATCAGCTATGAAATCATTAGGGAGACATGTTTCTATGTAAGCGTCTGAAGGTCTTAGGCCAGGTGAGATTCAATTTAGGACGCGGGAGGAAGAACATTGGAAGATGATGCTGGTCATAGCAGTAGGCAGGGACCAAAGGGTCTTCCAGGGAAAAAATGCTTAGGCTTCATTTAAGAGATTCTGGAATTCTTTTGATGTTTAAAACTGGAAGTAACGTAGTATCATTTACAAATGTATATTTTTGATGCTGGAACATCCCTTTTATACATCAATTTTCCATGTAATGAATTCTTGTACTACCTTAATATTAGATTGAAATAATATTAAATTTGGGGGGATTTGTTGTTTTGTTTGTTTGTTTTATAAACCTGTACTTTTGAGTACTTCTAGATACATCTGCCAGTGAAAGTGCTTCCCAGTCAGGGCTTACATGAAGAGAGGCCTCTAAGAATTATATACATACATATATATATATATATATATATATGTATATATATATATGTATATATATAATCTGAAGTATCTAATCAAGAGCCTGTAGTCCATGGAGCTTAGTAATTGTGCTGCTGTTGCAATAAAGCCACTGTCAACTCTTCATTGCCTGTGCTTGATCCCTCCTGCAGATGGAGGCATGCTCCGCTTTGGAATCCCTTTGTTCACCTTGGCATCCCTTTCGTCCTTGAGCGGCTCTGCCTGCTGGCAAGTTCTTTCTTGACTCCTAAGTCTCTTCAGATCGGTTAGTACAACTCTATTATCCGCATTAGAGATTTCTCGGAATAAGATTTCATCACGTAGGACAATGTTTTCCAAATATTAATGAGCACACAAACGATTAAAGGGTCTTATTAAAGCATAGCTCCTGAGTCAATAGCTCTGGAATAGGAGTTCAACCTTTCTTGTTTCTCATGAATTCCCTAATGATGGGGATGGGGGAGGGAGGCTGCTTCCAACTGAACTGAACTTTGAGGCAAGGCACATGATGTACTGCTTGCCCACTTGTCATCTGAGACTCTCTAAGAATATTTCATTTTGTCCAGTTCTCTTTAATGGTGTCACCTAGTTCATAATTTATTCTCCTGGGTAAGATCTGACCAGCTTAAGTCTCACAGGAAGTATGTATTCTGGCTCTGATTTTTTAAAGAAGTAGCATAAATCACAAGCAGACTTTGGTGAGCAATGTCAGTGCTTTAAGTTTAACCTGAGCAGCTATTCAGCCACAGTTACCCAATCCCTGACCTCCTTGAAGATTTTATCTTCAGTTTATTACCTAGCACCCTCATAAGACTGACCAAGTGTCTGATGGAAACAGGCACTAATGTTAAGGCCGGAGAATTACCTAATAAAGGCTGGATTTATTAGTGGATGGCGTTGTATTGGAATGCTGTCTGCTTGGTTGCAACTTCCCTAGTGAAAACTCTGAAGACCTAACTAACGGACACTGGGATAATGTTCAGCACCCGCTAACTCCCACCAAAGTTTTCGAGGAAGTATGCAAGGAGAACATCACTTTAGAAAAGGATCAGAAAGATTTTACTTGATTGGGACTCAGAATATGGAAGCAGTCGTGGTTTTAAGCAAAAACGGGGACCGAGTAACTTACGTTCTAAAACAGTGTGCTGCAGTGACGACCCACGTGTTACCAATCAAGGTGCCCCCGCACTGATGGAAGTTGCTGCGCTGAAGGGAAACTTGCCAAGGCCAGGCACCCTTGGCTGCAAGGTTTCCAGACACTATTCTGTTGGCAATTAATGGGATAGCTCGTTTGCCACAATCTGAAAAACACAAAACCATTTATAAGAAATGTCTGTCCAGCTTTTGGGGCAGAGTATCCCAGAGAATAGAACAATGCAGGCACCTCAGCTGTCACTTTTTATACATGACTACTCTGCCATTCATTCTTTGTTTTTCCTTCTGCGCCGACATGTTGCTTAGGCCAACCTTTGTGTATGCAAATAGATGTTGTTTATGAAGCTTTACTAAGCTATAAAGGATTGACAGCATCAGCCCCAGATAATGGCCAGTTATCCAGTTATTCTAGGAGCCCCCTGCCAAGATCATTGCTTTGCAGTCGTAGGTCATCCAGCAGTGTTGTGCTGTTACCATGGAGTCCTCATCAGAGCGACAACTCCCTCTCGTCAGATAAGCAGTGGCCTGTTTGGTGGAAACACCTTTGATGTCTAACTTTCTAGAGTGACTACATTTTAAGATGTGCAAGGATGACTGCATCATGACTAGTCATTCATTTTTTAGGATGGAGGTTTCCATGTCTCCATACAAACATTACATCCACTGCTGACAAGAATAAACATGTACTCTATCACATCAGAGGCTGCTTTCGTATTCAGGGATGCTGTGAAGACAAAACTTATTAAAATTATATTGTTTAAAGAAAGAAGAAAGAAAAATTAGTAGATTGGCTCTTATTCCAACAAATAAATATCAGAAAAGAAAACAATTCACTTTTCTGGTATTGATTATATTCCCAACACGGCCATTTCAGAAATTTACATCATGTTATCATTGCTCTCACATGAACGAAGATTTTTCACATCCTAAAGAACAGAAGAGGCCCCACATCATTTCCTTGCTTCAGTCTTACACTTTTATACTCTGCTTGCTGTGCTGGGCATTGAATGACCTTATGACATGTGTGAAAGTTTTGTTGACTTCAAATAAAGTAAAAATCTTTCCAGGGAATTCTAGTAATTGATGACTATTAATCACATCTCTTGCCCCCCCCCCCCCCGGAGTCCCAAGTCTTTGTCACAGCCAAGCAGACAATTTTCTTTTGTAGGAAATGATGATGTCTTCACTTGCCTGGTCTCCTTGTCCAGGTCACTTACTTCCAGTCACCTGACTCACGGAGTTTGTTCTCGCCATTTCTGGGATTATTTAATGACAGAACAAGGCCTGGTTAGCTAACTCTGATAGACTCTTAAAGCATTGTATATTTTCCTCTATTACACTACATTAATATTTTCTAATTTATTTCTGCCTCCCTTTCCTTTGCAATTTTGGTTTGAATAAGATCATGTCTTAATCACAGTGGTAGGACCAGCACTTGGAAATGCTTTTGACCCTGTATTAATAGATGCTAAAAGATAATAGGGAATGAATGAATGAATGAATGAGTAAAAACTAGTATAGGTGTTTGTGAGACACAGAATCAAAAGAATAAATCCCTACTCAAATTCTTCACCATATTTGTAAAATCATTCAAAATTCAGGCCACAGAGAGTATTAATGAATTGAGAAACATCACTGTTGGGTGTGAAGATAATGCTAGTATGTTTCAGTAGTCAGTCTCAAATAAAAGGTTCATTTCTTTCTCTTGTATTTCCTTATATCATTTTAACTTCATCACAAAGCAGGTTTCATCGCTTTTTAAAAAAATAATTAGGAAAGTAAGCCCACTCACTCAAAACCAGGAACACATAATTTTTTTTTAACTTTCTTGGTCTTAGATTCAGAAAAACACATATCCTTCTGTTGCCTGCTATTCTTTCAGATGAAAATATAAATGTAGGTAAGAAATTATGAGCTAATATTTAAAGATACAATTGCTGAAGTGGAAATTGAACTTGTTTGTAAAAGCTAACTAGACTTACATACTTGGAAAGTTAACCTTCCCTGCTGATGAGGACATTGCTCAAGACTGAAACAGAATAAAAGTATGACTTGATGTCTTCCTGGTTAATCACAATGACCAGGAATTCCCAGATGCCACTGACCATGTATTCGACAGTTGAACACACAGACTCATAAGTACACTGGATCTCTAATATACATTGGATAGAAGAGGCGACATCTAATTAGTGGGGTAATTTCTTACTCATTGTGCTAGACAAAAATAGTGGATGAATAAAACTCACAAATAATTTCCATTAGTGCAGAATAGTGGTTTTCTAAGAGTAAATTCTCTTGAATTCCACTGTAGGATGAGAAGAAAGGATAAGTATATGGGTCCCTAGGCCTCACATTTTATCTCAACCAAAGCATGCTTGCTTTTGTCTCTTTTGTCTCCTTAAGATTTAATATAAGCTTGTTTCTCTCAAAAGAGTTTAGGATGAAAAGACTTTGAAAATCTCTAACATAAATTGTGTTTAAAGTACATCTCAGACATGTTCCTAACTACTTAAATCCTGCAGCTTAAAAAATATTAGATGAGAGCTGGAGAGATGGTTCAGGGGTTAAGAGCACTGGATGCTCTTCCAGAGGTCATGAGTTCAATTCCCAGCAACCACATGGTGGCTCACAACCATCTATAATGAGATCTGGTGTCCTCTTCTGGTGTGCAGGTGTACATGCAGACAGAACATTGTAAATAAATAAATCTTTAAAAAAAAGTTTATGGGCTGGAGAGATGGCTCAGAGGTTACAAACACTGTCTGCTCTTTTAGAGGTCCTGAGTTCAATTCCCAGCAATCACATGGTGGCTCACAACCATTTACAAAGAGATCTGGTGCCCTCTTTTGGCCTGTAGGCACACATGCAGGCAAAATATTGTATATATAATAAATAAATAAAACAAAAAGAAGCAAACAAACAAAAATATTAGATGAACACAGTGGTTTATGCATGTAATCTCAACATTCAGGAAGCAGAGGAAAGGAAATCACAAGATGAACTTGTTCTCAAAAGATAAGCACAAAATTAAAAATAAAATTAATGAATATCATTATATAATATAAGCTGAAAATTATAAAAAATCATCTTTAGGGTTAAATTCTGCCATTTCCCAACAAAATTAGAAATCTGACAAAAGAAATAAACTCTATGTAACAAACATATGAAATAGCATGTTGTGTACAATAAATATTTACAAATTTTGCTTATAAGTAAGACTTGGGAAATATGGTGAAAAGTTGCATTAAAATTGATGGCTTTTTAATTAAAGTGACTCACTGAAGAAGATAGTAATAAACTGCAGGGTTTTGTTTCTCAGAAATAGAATGCAACCTATTTCCCTTTGATGAAAACAAGAATGTGGCATTTTGCCAACTCTTTATAAATCCTATCTAAGTAGCTGGTGACAATGACCTTTATGAAACAGAAACTTAAGAAAATAATGACTTAAAATATCATCCTTGAGGACATCTGCTAGCCACAGTGAAGATGCAGTTGTTCAAATTTTTAATGCTTAGCCTATGGAAAAAACTAAATTTTTCTATCTCACGTAGTTGTTAAACAAACTACATAAGAAAAGAAAAGAAAGAAGGAAGACATTTTATTTGTCCTTAAAAATCAATGAAATGGTGTCAGGGGTTGAATGGCCTAAGTGAACCTCTTGGCTCCTCTTGCTTTCAGCTGATCCTTACTAGTTTTGCTACCACGGAAGCATCAATCTCAGATTGATGCCACTAACGGGTTAAAGACTGGTCTCCACTGCGTGCTTACTTCCTTGTCCTCTGGAAGAAAGTTGCTTGTCTTTATCTCCCTTAGATTTTGGGGAAAGGTGGCCATTTGCTGTCTACCCCTTTTCTCCTGAGAAAAGATTCTTTTTATTTTTTATTTTTTGTCTTGATTTCAATGGCAGCATTAATCAGTCTTTGGAAAGAGTACAAAGAAGATGTTAATTCCCAAACTTTCTTATCAGCAACTTTTATTTAAGTTTATGGAACCCAGTATATCTGTGGCATATCAGCAGTCTGTGCACTACAAAAGCAGACTATCCTGAATTTCTAACTCCCCTGACGTCCACCTATCTGATATGCCTTTGTACAACTCCCAAGATATGTTGCTCGTAACAACAACAACAACAACAACAACAACAACAACAACAAAAAGATGATATTTGTTGGGAAGAGCCTGAGGTGGTTTGAATGAGAATGGACTCACAGTTTTGTGTATTTGAATGCTAGGTCAGTGGAATTGTTTGGGAAAGATTAGGGGGTGTGACTTGGTGGAAGAGGTATGTCACTGTGGCGGACTTTGAGGATTCAAAACAAGCATCCTTCCTAGTTAGCTCTTTTCCTGACTCCTTATTGTTTCAGGATGTGAACTATCAGCCACTGCTTCAGTGTCATGCCTGCCAGCCTGTTGCCATGCTTCCCACCATGATGGTTATGGACTTATTCTTTGAAACTTTAAGCCCCTGTAAACCCTTTTCTTCTAATAGATGCCCTGGCCATGATGCTTTGTCATGCCAATAGACAAATAGCTAAGACAGAGCCTCTGTCTTCTTTGATTTGGTTAAATTTCGGAACAAATCTCTTTCCTTACTCTAATAACTTATCATTAACTCATTGGTACTTTTGAGTAGCAAGCAAGATACATAGGCTCACTGTTACCCCTTAGAATTCTTTGATTAGACCTTCATTGATTCAGTATCAGGAAAATGCAAATTATCCATCTCCAGGAATGACTTCATGGCAAGCACTGCAATATCATTATTGGAAATAGTATTTCTCCCATCTGTTTTTGTTTTTGACAGAATCTTGCTCCATGGCTCTGGCTGACCTGAAACTCACTGTTTAGACTGGCCTGGCCTTAAAGTTATGGTAATTCTCCTGCCTCTGCCTCTTGAATGTTGGGATTACAGGCATGTACCTCCATGCCTGACTCTGTAATTGAATTTCTAATAATATTTTTTTTGGGGGGGGGGGAGAATGTTACTTTTTTCCCAGAAAACATTTTATTTTAAAGCTATCAAAAATTTAAAAATGGCAGAGCATAAGTTAAATTTTGCCATATCTTTTCAGCTCAAAGTTCTTACATGCTTTATCAAGAACCTGTTTTATTTTGACAAGTAACTGTGCGGTGTGGAGCCCTTAGTAGATTTAACGTGTGAAAGCAAAGCTAAAATCAACTCCTTTGTATCCCTAAGGCCAGCACTGTTGCAAAACAACTTATTGCCTGTTCCATGGGAAGTGTGCCCCACTCCTATCACAGTGATTGCAGTCATGAGTGATGCTACGTCTTCTCATCTCCAGAAAGGGTCAGGGATGGCCACTCTCAATTAAGTGAAAACATTTTTTCATGCCTAGACTTGGAAAACATGTTTTACAAAATATGGAATTATTCATCTAGGAATTGACAGACAAGCTCTTAATGTTTTTACAGATAAAAAAAAAAAGGTCCTTAACAGGGTATAGGAGAGGGTCAGAATAGTGCTTGATATCCACACATGGGAACACTAGTTCAGAGCTCTAGCAAGCATGTTAAAATCTGGATGTGGCAGTCGTGGGATCCTGTGACCTTAGCACTAGGGAGATGGAAAATAGTAAGATCCCTATAATTCACTGACAAACTAGTTTAGGCAAATCACTATACTCTAAATTTAGTAAGAGGCCCTGTCTCAAAAAAAAAACAAAAACAAAAACAAAACCAACAAAGTGGAAAGAGATAGAAAGACACCCACACAAATGTGAGTGGGTACACACACATACCCTTACCCTAAAGACTGTGCATGAGGCCTGCAGCCTATGGTCCTAACTGCTCATAAACACTGTGCATTTAAATATTCTGAGGCTACCTAGCAGTGTTTCAAAGCAGACACTAAGACTCATAACCAAACCCTCGGCAGAGTGCAGGGAATCATATGAAAGAAGGGAAGTTAGTATGATATGGAAAGGATAGGAGCTCTACAAGGACCAAACATATCTGGGCACAGGGTCTTTTCTGAGACTGACACTCAACCAAGGACCATCTATGGATATAACCTAGAACTTCTGCTCGGATGTGGCCCATGGTAGCTCAGTAACCAAGTAGTTTTCCAAAGTAAGGGGAACAGGGACTATTTCTAACAGGATTTCAAGGGCAGGCTGTTTGACCCCCCCCCCACCCCCCCGGGGAGGAGCAGTCTGTTAGGCCACAGAGGAGGACTTTGCAGCCAGCCCTGAAGATACCTGATAAAACAGGGTCAGATGAAAGGGGAGGAGGTCCTCCCCTATCAGTGGACTTGGAAAGGGGCAGGGAGGAGACCAGGGAGGGAGTGTGGGGTTGGGGAGGGAATGAGGGAGCGGGATACAGCTGGGACACAGAGTTAACAAAATGTAACTAAAAAGAAAATAATAATAATAATAATAAAAAAATCAGAAAAAAAATATTCTGAGGCTTCATAGTTCTAGCTTTTTCTCCCACCAGTCAATCAATTTCCAAAGGGCATCCAATTTAACATAATCTGAAGCAATAGTTTTCAGGTGCCATATTACGTTTTCTGATTTCCTATGTATTTTCCTCATATTTTTGTGTTGTCAAGAAGAACAAACATATTCCTCTGTTGAGAATTCTCTGTTTAGCTCTGTACCCCATTGAGACTCATAGCCAAACTTTGGGCAGAGTGCTGGAATCCTTATGGAAGAAGAGGGAGATAGAAAGATCTGGACATGAACTCCCCAGGGAGAACAACAGAACCCAAATACCTGGGCCCAGGGGGCCCTGAAGAGACCTATACTCCAACTAAGGACCATGCATGGAGAGGACATGGACCTCCTGTTAATGGAAGCCCATTGGCTGCTCAGTTCCCAAGTGGGTTCCCTAGTAAGGGGTATAGGGGCTGTCTATGACATCAACTTAGTGGCAGGCTCTTTGATCACCTCCCCTTGGGGAGTGCAGCCTTGCCAGGCCACAGAGGAAGAAGATGCAGCCAGCCTTGATGAGACCTGATAAGCTAGGGTCAGATAGAAGGGGAGGAGGACTAGGGACTAGGGAAAGGGCATAGGGAGAGAAGAGGGAGAGTGGGTAGGACTGAGAAGAGACAAGGGAGGGGGCTGCAGCAGGGATACAAAGTGAATAAATTGTAATAAATAAATATATAAATTAAATTAAAAGCATAAATAAATAAAATAAAAAAGAAGACCAAACATTGTCATTTCACTTTTACAGATTAAAAAATATACACACACATATGGGCAATTACTTGTACAGTGCAGCAACAAAGAGACTTCACAATTAGGTAACTCAAACCGGGTTTTCCACAGGAACATCCTCTTCTTAAATATAGTACAATCATTAAAGTACATGAAACTCAAAAGCTGAGCCCATGCCAAACAGGAAGGCCTGGCTGCCAGGGGCCATTTCAACCCTCATCTCCGGATACTGCAGGTGTCTGAGTTCCTGAAATTTAACTCACTCTTTGAAATTATAGACAGCCCGTCACATAACTTATCACAATGGCCATTATTTCACAACTGCAACACTTAAAGAAAATGGATCACACATTTGGCAGGCTCCTTCCTTCCAGTTGGGAGGGGTCCATAGCTTTGTGCTCTTAGTAACTGATTTCGTGTCATATGAGCAAGCATCTGCTCATCCATTACCTTGGTCTCCAATTTCCTAATGTGGTTTCCTCTTAAGGAGTCAGCTTGACCCTTCCAAGGGCAGGGCACCCTGTTTTATTTCTACTACAAATCACTTGTCCTTACTCTCATAAATCTGGTGTCCGTGGGATAATCTGTACCTGTCTGCTGGAAGCAGATGTTGTGATAGCACATACTGTGTGAGGATATGTAGATTTCTGGCCGCCTGGACTCCTCAGGGTCTCACGCATGCTAACAGAAGCATGAATTTCCAGGGTTTCCACTTTTGTTTAAGCACAGAAACCCTTTTTCATTATGCCCATCAATAAATTAGACATTTGAATCTTGGCTTCTTTTAATTATTATGTTTTTTTTTAAAAAATTACACCAATATAATAGAATTTCCCTACTTCATATATATGGGAAATTCTATTATATATACACACACACACACACACACACACACACACACATTACACACACACATATACATATATATATATATACTTAAACTAAATTAGCTACTGCATACGAAGTGTAGAGAAGGACCTTGATGAAGACAGACTCTCTTCAGTTCAGAGAGGTGATGATGGTGTAATGAGTAAAGGAAACAGAGAACTTATAAAAATATAAGTTACAGTGACTTCTTTTTCCCACTGATATACAAGGTATTATTTACCAGATACTCCAGTGGCTCTAAAGGCAGTTTTTTTTTATTTTTTTCCAAATACTCATAGGAAGAAAAAGAATAAAAGCTTCCTAACATTATCAAGTACAGGAACGGCCTATATTTTTTGAAAGCGGCAGATGAGTTTGTGTTTTTAGAAGGTCCCACCCAAGAATCAGTTCTTGCTTAACCTTTTTGCTTGCTGAATCATGGAGGCAGTGGCTGTGTTGGATTAACCCTGTTTGTGGCAAAGTCGTTTTTATTGAGAGATGAGCGCAATCAGTTACTTCCAGGAAAACCACTTGGTGGCTATTGTCAGACATGTTTTCGTCAGAGAATAATGAAAACTTGAAATGTCTCATCTTCAGGTTGAATATTTTCCCCTCCTTATGTCTTACTATTATTCGGAGTAGGAACGACAAGTGAGTTTGTGACTCTACCAAGCATTTGTATCATGTGGGAATCACCCTACTTACCACTAACTTGAACTACAGAGACATCAGCTGGCAAGGCTCTTGTGTTCCTTGTCTTCTGATTTAAGATGCTGTGGATCTTCTTTTCTCCCATGGTCCTTTGCTCAGCAGAGGGAGTCTGGAACACTGTAACAATGTCCGCTTTCACATCATCTTCTTCTGGACTAGGGAACAAAAGAGCAAAGTTCACATTCAAAGTACGCATCTGGTTTTGTCTCACTGTCTTTCTTGCAACTTCCTAATTCATGCCTCGGTTGCTGAAATGTCAAGGGCCAGGCAATCTTCTCCCATTTCACACTCCTCCACAGACTACTCTTTGACGCTTCGTCTTCTAGCCTTTTAAAAATAGTTTGAGTGCACCCCCGCCCCAATAACTTGAAGACATATTTGGGTAAGACTCGGACACAAAAAGTCATTAAAAAAAGTTTTGGCACTCTTAGTCTTTTGTGGTCAGTAGAGTTCTCTTTCCTCAGCTGGTCAAAAAATGTAGAAAGTAAGTGGCCAGCTGTGAGGTGCCTGTTACAAAATGGAGAACAACCCTTATACCCAAACCTCAGGGAACATCACAGAAGGGTAGGTGGAAAATTTTAAGAGCCAGAGAATCAGGAGGGCAGCTGCAAAACACTGTCTTCTGGTCACGACAGGTGTTATACACAAGAACTCTCATCAGCTATTGCGTAAGTCCTCTATGAGACCCTACCAGCCAATATTCCAGTATTGGTGGGAGAAGAGCTCATAAGACCTGAGTTATGGAGCTACAGGCAGTTATCAGCTGCTGAGGGAGTCAGTTTTCTTCAGGGATAAGTTTCTTCATAGGTTGCCTGTGTGCCAGAGGTCAGTCCTATATCTACGTGCATATGGGTAATGCTAACTGAACTCAGTGGGATATCTATAAATATGTGTGTGTGTGTTAGAGCCATATATACACATATGTGATGACAGCAGAAAAGGAGCACACAAACTTAAAAGGGAATGTGGGGGCACACAGGAGAAATTGTAAGTGGGAAGGGCCGAACTGACGGGATCAAAATGCACTCTACACAGAACAGCTCCTTAGAAATACAATAAGAACATGAAGTCCTCTCAGGGCTGAAAGAAACCTCATGTCCTCTTGGGGAATGAATCACATATCTGGTATCTGAATCTCCTGTACAGCACCGATGAGAAGTGGGTCACCAACCCCAGGGCAGTCATTAAGTTGTGGAAAGTTTGCTTTGCTAAAAAGAATGTTCCTCGTTCAGCTCTACTTTAAAATTCATTTACACAGAACTTCAATGTCTCCTTTAATTTTCCATTACGCAAAGCTTAGAGCTAACAGTTTCAATATATCTTAAGCATCTATTTCCTCTTCCACATAAAATATCTGATGAGAGTCCGTGTGGTCTCTCTTTCTCCTTTGGATGATCACACCCACTTTTTTGACTTGTTTCACAGAAACAGAGCTACCTCCCACCGCCTGTACGAGTGAATCTCCACAGTCACTCACTATGGTGACATCAAACCATTGAAGGCGTTCCCTTGTGGAGTTGGGGAGGAGAGTAAGAATTGAGGTTTTGTTTATGTACCAGTTAATCTGCTTAAATGTTCGAACAAAAAATGCTAGAAATTTTCTGTAAGTACCAACTCATTTTTGTATGTATGGCAATATGACTATGTGGTTCGTTAAAGGTGTTTTGGAAATGATACCTAATGATCTTTCATGTCCCCTATTTTCATACCACAAAACCACAAGTTCTAACAAAAAAAGTTATGAATCTAGTCTACTTGAGATTTTTGGCTAAAAATAAGGAAATTACATAAATTCTGAGGCACGACAAGTCTCCTGTTCTATTTCGGATCTAGAATAAGGAAGTATAAGAGATACTAACATAATTAGAGATTTATGTTAAATTGACAAATGGGGACCCAAGTATCTTTTTCATCTTAAATAAAAGGAATTAAAACAGTTTGCTGAGTAGAATTTACACAAAAATAACACAATAAACATTGACTACAGACCCAGAGGATGTTCTCAGACCATGGTGATGTTGCCAAAATGCCACAAAAAATTAGAATATGAAGATAGCTGTATAAAATGCACAAAGTTCCAGCATTTATATGCTACTTATCTTCTAAGTTATCTAAGCTATTCTAATAACCTCATGTAGGGGCTGGAGAGATGACCCGGTGGTTAAGAGCACTTGCTGCTCTTGCATAGGACCTGAGTACAGTTTCCAGCATCCACATGATGGCTCACAGCCAACCATTGTTCTCTCCTGGTCCGCAAGGGCACAGGAGTGATGAACATATTTACACGCAGACAAAATCACTACCTAGCATAAAATAAAAACAGATCTTTCAAAACTCTTCAAGGATTTTGGGCTATCATATGCAAAAAAACAACAACAACAACAAAAAAAATCTTTAGTAATTTCAATAATGCATCTGTCTACTGGTGAAAAAATAAAAATAAAAAGATTGCCACTAATCTCTTTAGAGAAACTCCGCTAAATATTTTAGCTGCTTTCATCAAGGTTATTATTATTAGTAGTAGTATACTAAGTATACAAAGTAGTGGGTTTCATAATTACATTTTTGTTTGAGTATCTTTTTTCTCTTTGAAATGAATCATACAAATGACTGGTTTTGTGCCCATCTTACTGTGTGACTTTTTAAAATAACAAAGTTGAAACCTGTGAGTAATTTCAGCAACTGATATGAGTCTTCCCTCCCTACCCAAACAAAAGGGAACAACTATTACAACACTATCGTATTTTGGTTTGGGCATGTTGCCTGTCACTACGGCTTTGCTATAGGTAAAACTGATAATCCCATTTTGTAGTAAACTTTGCCTTCTTGATGTTTTTGCAACGCCATATCTGTCAGAAGTATGGACTTGGTGCATGCAAAGACATGGCCTGGGTTTACCCATGCTGTGGATTAAGGTGGATTCCAGGCCTCACAGTCAGTGGGTAAGGCTTGAGTAACTGTCTCCGGGGGAACATCAGTATATCACTATTTTCCCCTCCCAGCTTAGCTTTCCAATTTTCAGGATGGGTTCAGCCCTGTACCTTAAGACTATTCTAGAGACAGTATTTGTGAAGAGCTCTAGTAAAAGGTGCAGGGACACAAGTTACATGAGGGTCCCTGTATCCTTTCCCTTTGTCCCTTTAGGTTTGCAACTACACCCTTGCCCAAATATACATACACTGTATAGTTCTTGATGTAGGGCTTGTTCAAGGTTGAATCCATAAATATTTCATCTACCTGTCATTATAAGAGAAAAACAATGTGTTAGTGGGATATTTTATAAGACTATACTCCAGATTAAACATTAAAGAAACAGAATTTTCACAATAGCAATATGGTGATTTAAGTTACAGATTTCTTCTCAGTAATTCAATAATTTGTTCCTCTGAAAATGTATGTTAAAGAATATAACCCTTCCCCACAATGTATAGGGGAGTGGCACTTAAGGTGTGGACTTTTTATCGGGGTGTGTTCGTATACTGTGCCAGCACTGTACTGTAGTTTTTTAAATGAATGTCACATATTTTTGTTTTATATCCAATTGCATTTTTGTTGCAAAATGCTTGAAGAAAAGTGAGGAAAAGAAATTTGGAACTTCCCATAAATGTAAAACTTTTTCACTGTAAAAAAAAAAGCGACAAACACAGTTTTACAATATACATACACACCTTCTAGATAATTCCCTCCTCCCCTTCAAACTATGGTAAGAGTTCCTGTTTCTGCAGAATTTCAAAAATTAAAAACAAAATAACTTCTCATTTTTTAACAAATCTAGGATTTGTACATTTCAGATTAATTCTGTAAAAATGTAAAAAACACAGAAGCAAAATAGTCATGTTTAAGGAAAATAGTATACAGACTTTTTTCCACACAAAAGTAGATAATAAAAATGCAAAACTGTATTTCCACTCATTAATAATATATTTAGTAAGTATTCACTTGATTTGTAGGTCTTTGTTTGTCAAGTATAGGAGGTATTTGGGATTATAGAGAAACAGATTTTTAAATTCATTCTAAGACTCTAATCAGAAAGTAAGTTAATGTAAGTGAGTCAAATAAATATAAGTAAGTCAAGTAGAAGTAAGCTAACATAACTAAGTTAATGTAAATAAGTCAAGTAAAAGTGATATTCCTTGTTGTACACCACTAAGGAAGAAGAATGGCATTTTTGTCAGCAACATGCACTTTCAAGGCTGCTGAATCATGAGGCTGTATTCCATCAGATGTGTTTGACTTCAGTACCCTCTAGCAACCACTTGGTGGCGGAGTGTCACCTGAATGTAGGCACTGTAGCTTCTGTGTGGAGAAACCAGATGAACTAAATGTGGAAAAAACAAGAAATCCAACCAAACAAACACACAAACAAATAAACACACAACAAAACAAATACACAACCAAACAAACCAAGGTCCTAAATACTAAAGGCAAGATCAGGAAATGCAACTCTTGTTGTTGTTTTGTTTTTTATTTTTATTTTTTGCAACTCTTGTTTTTAAAAGGAAAAGACATACAAATGAAGGAAAGATTTTTCAGGAATAGTGGATCAAGTTATGGCTTCCTTGTGGCTATTATGAATTCATAGGAGCCAGGATTTTCATTATTTTAGCCCTTACAATTACTCTGTGGACTAAGGGTATTTTGATTCCTGTCTCAGTAGATGAGAAAACTGATTCTGAGGCATTGTAAAATTCTGTGGCTCCATGCCAGTGGCAGGAAGCTGAGACTTAAACCTGAGACTTAAGGCTTCATGAATAGCATCCATGTCAGGCTCCACTCAATTATAAGAGCTTCCTTCTTAAATTTGCTGTGTCTTGTACTTCAATTTCTTTCCTAAAGGACATAGTGATCAGTCTGAAATATGCAGTTGATGGATTTGAATTCAGTGTAGTATAACACCTGTAACAGATTTAAACACAAGCTCAGAGATAGTAATTAAAGAATAAATTGTTAACATCCATCATAGTTAGGTATGTGCCTCTGTGATGAAACACAATGACCAAAAGCAACTTGGGGATGAAAGGGTTCATTCAGGGTACATTTCCACAGCACTGTTCATCACCGAATGAAGTTAGGGCAGAAACCTGGAGTTAGAGCAGATGCAGAAGCCATGGAGGAATGCTCCTTACTGACTTCCTTTCTGTCTCTTGCTCAGCCTGCTTTCTTAAAATACCTACCACCCACAATATGCTGGGCCTTCCCCCATCAATCAGCAAATAAGAAGATGCTCTACAGGCTTGCCTACAACACAGTCTTTTGGAGGCATTTTCTCAACTAAGGTTTCCTCCTCATGGGTGACTCTAGCTCTATAGAGCAACAGTTATAAAAACTGCATGGTACTGGCATAGAAACACACACAATGGTGGATCAATGGAACCAAATAGAAGACCCAGAAAAAAACTCACACACTTATGGACACCTGATTTTTGACAAAGATGCCAAAACCATACAATGGAAAAAAGATAGCATCTTCAACAAATGGTGCTGGTCCAACTGGATGTCTACATGTAGAAAAATGAAAATAGATCCATACTTATCACCCTGCACAAAAACTGAAGTCCAAGTGGATCAAAGACATCAACATAAAACCAGACACATTAAATTGGCTAGAAAAAAAGTGGGAAATACCCTAGAACTCATTGGCACAGGAGAGAACTTCCTGAACAGAACACCAACAGCACAGGCTCTAAGATCAACAATCAATAAATGGGACCTCATGAAACTGAAAAGCTTCTGTAAATCAAAGGACACCGTCATCAAAACAAAGCGACTGCCTTCAGATTGGGAAAGAATCTTCACCAACCCTTTATCTGACAGAGGGCTAATATCCAGCATATATAAAGAACTAAAGAAGCTGAAAAGCAGCAAACCAAGTAATCCACTTAAAAAATGGGGACCAGAGCTAAACAGAGAATTCTCGACAGAGGAATATCGAATGGCAGAGAAACACTTAAAGAAATGCTCAACCTCATTAGCCATTAGGGAAATGCAAATCAAAACAACCCTGAGATTTTACCTTATACCCATCAAATGGCCAAGATCAAAAACTAAAGTGACAACACATGCTGGAGAGGTTGTGGAAAAAGGGGAACCCTTCTCCACTGCTGGTGGGAATGTAAACTTGTACAACCACTCTGGAAATCAATCTGGTGCTTTCTCAGACAACTAGGAATAGCACTTCCTCAAGATCCAGCCATACCACTCCTAGGCATATATCCAAAAAAGGTTCAAGTACACAATAAGGACATTTGATCAACCATGTTTGTATCAGCCTTATTTGTAATAGCCAGAAGCTGGAAACAGCCCAGATGCCCCTCAACTGAAGAATGGATGCAGAAATTGTGGTACATCTACACAATGGAGTATTACTCTGCAATGAAAAATAAGGAAATCATGAAATTTACAGGTAAATGGTGGGACCTGGAAAGGATCATGAGCTGTCCCAGAAGCAGAAAGACACACATGGTATATACTCACTCATATAGACTTATAGGATAAACCTAAAATCTGTCTATCTAAAGAAACTAATCAAGAGAGGATTCTGACTAAAACACTCAATCCCCATCCTGAAAGGCAAAGAGGAGGGACATCAGAAGAAGAAGAAAACAGGAAACAACCTAGGAACCTGCCACAGATGGCCTCTGAAAGCCTCTGCCCTGCAGACTATCAAAGCAGACGCTGAGACTTTATGGCTAACTGTTGGGCAGAGTGCATGGAATCTTATGTAGGAAGTGGGAAATAGTAGGTTATGGAGAGGACAGGAACCCCACAAGGAGAGCAACAGAACCAGAAGATTTGAACATAGGGACCCATACTCCAACCAAGTACCAGGCATGGAGATAACCTAGAACCCCTGCACAGATGTAATCCATGGCAGTTTAGTGTCTAAGAGGGTTACATAGTAATGGGAAGAGGGACTGCCTCCGACACAATCTGATAGGCCTGCTCTTTGATCACCTCCCCCTGAGGGGAGAGCAGTCTTACCAGGTCACAGAAGATGACAATGCAGCCACTCTGGATGTGATCTGATAGACTAAGATCAGAAGGAAGGAGAGGAGGACCTCCCCTATCAGTGGACTTGGGGAGGGGCATGCATGAAGAAGGAGGAGAGAGGGTGGGATCAGGAGGGGAGGAGGGAGGGGCTTATGGGAAGGATACAAAGTGAATAAAGTGTAAAAAAAAAAAACCTAGCTGGAACAGCACCCAAAGCATACACTCATCCATAGTTAAATCAAGGAAGTTAAATTTGGTAGCTTGACATCTATATTGCTAGAAAGGATACTATTTCACAAGATTTTCCCCCCAAACTTACATTGTTGTAATAATCTCTGTCATTCAGTCTATACTTTTACTCAGCACATGGGGGAGGGGGCATCCTTCATCCCCACAAAAACGCAAACCCAAATGAAGGAGAAGAAAATTAAGAATAAGAAAAGTACATTGCAGTGAGACACTAAAAAACTTTGTGATGGTACTCTGAGTTAGCTCCTCCCATAATTGATTTTTGTGTAACTTGATAAAGACACTGGATTAAGATTTTGACCTCTGACCTGTGGATGATAATCCTCTGAATACTGGAGCAAAAGGGAGCAGTAGAAGAAAAAGCTAAGTTATTTATGTGCTTCTATCAAGAAGTAAGATTCTTCCTTATGATTCCAGAACCTTGTCTCCAGACAGCCCCACTAATTAGATGGGTCTTGTGGGGCAAGACCCACAGTCTTTTAAGTGACATATCTATAAACAGCACATTGAGGAAGGATATATAGGAACTGCTAAAACCAGAGCTCATGCTGTGAATTACATGCTGGCAAAACATAAACAAAACATGAACATAAATAAAATAAACATAAAAATAAATAAACAAAACAAAAACAAAAACATAAATAAACAAAACAAAACATAAACATAAATTGTATTGCTAAAAGAAGTATAGTAGACCCAAGCCTTGTAGATATCTCAAAGTTATATTTGCCTGGCAGACTAAGGCTTTCTTCATCATACACACTCTATCAGTACTATGACACTCCAAGTTCTAGGACACTTTCTTCCTCTCCCAACGTAGATATGTATAAGTTTAATAAAAAATTATTATCATTAACACAATCTAATAGGGTCAGTGACTTAAATATCCTACCTGTCACTTCAGGCCATTTGTAGCTTTGTAATCAAGAGTTGAGTGTCCTGATGTGGAACAAAAGACCCTTTTATGGTAGTAGTTAGTTTCTGCTTGGTGACTCTGG